TTCTGCTTCACGGCGATGGTGAACTGCTGCTCGAAAAGCAGCCCAGTTTGATCCCTTCGAATCGAGCTTCTCCACGCCGGCGATGAAGTCCGACAGCGACGGCGAGTTGGTCGACGACATGGCGAGGAGATGATGACAAGATAGGGTGGAAGATGATGGGATGGGAGAAGCGAGTGTGGGCGAATAAGCGAGTGGTTCTGCGCGGTTTGTGAGTCTTTTCAGTTAAGGCCGCGCAGGGCTCATAACCTATGAGAGCAAGTAGTCGTACTGGGCTGTAAGTAGCACGGATAGACCCTCAGTACGGACGCTCGGGCAGAGAGCAAAGACTGTATTCTGTACCTGTAAGTAGCACGGATAGACTAAACAAGTACGGTGAGCTACAGTACGCGGGACAACGAGTGGACAGCAGACTTACCCCTCAGTACGGACGCTCGGGCAGAGAGCAAAGACTGAGGGGCGTCGTCCGCGAGAGGGCGGGTATATCTGAGGAACGAGCGAGTGGTAACGAACGAGGCGCGGGCGCCGCGCCTGGAGCGCGGCGCGGCTAAATAAACGCATAAACGAGGCAGTCACTAAATAGGAAACCATCGCAAGCTCGAGGCGGGCGGCAGTGTATCGTAATCAGAGAGGCACGGGCGTAAAGTAAAAAGCGAACGGGAAAACGGTCCGAGGTAGACGGCCGACGCAGACTCACGTCGGCCGCCACGGATTGTTGCTCCAACACATCGCCCCGATTTTCGCCCAACTGACCTCTTGTAGCCTCAGCGCAGACAGGGCCGGCAGCGCGATGATGAGGCGTGCAAGAGCCATGAAGGAAGGGAGCTTCACGTTATTGAACGCTATATACTTCAGGGTGTGGGATCGGCCAGTGTATGCAGTCATATGGCGCGAGAGGTCGACCAATCGAGAGGACTCGAGACCATAAACCTGTCCTGTGATGCCTATGCGGAGTATCTTGAGGCGAGGGAGACGCCCCGAAAGCAGAGCGCAGGCCGAATTTATGAACGCTAGCGACGTTTCAGTGAACTTGGGTTCCAAAATAAGATCCTCGACCATTTCCGCAGGGTGCGGCCTTATCGACACAAGACACACGTCCAGGGCGCGCGAGAACAAGGTAAGCTGCGCCAGAGAACGCAAAGTGGGACGGCGGAAGATGTGGTAGCGACAACGAGGGAGCCACGCACGACATGTGAGGGCACACCGTCGCAGGATGGCGTAATGTGGCCCTACGGCGTCGATGATTGCCTCGTGGATCTCTAGAGGTATCGCCGTGTGTGGGTGAGACATAGTTGTCTTGAGCCTAAGGATTGTCTTCCGCCTCCGAACGTGGGGCTGGTTTACGAGCCAAGGCTAAGCGGGGAGAGACTATACGGGTTGTCAACTGCTGTTCTGTGATGCCTTGAGGACCGACCATGTGGTTATGTACTGGGCGCCGCCGATATTAGTCCTAGTCCTTCATGGCATTGTAATACTTTTACGTACCGGTACCGCCCGCGTCAACACGAGTCGAACCTACACACGGATACACACGTGCGCCGCACACCGCGGTGTAGACACCATCCAAACTTGCTCAACTATATAGTGATTAATCTACACATACACACAGTATGCCCACATAATCAGATCTAGAGACACCACGAACGGGCCGCATCAGGGTAGTCATAGCGCAGATGGATAAACATGGAACGGCGGCGAGAAGCAGGAGATATCTATGTCGGTATAGGATGCAAGCGTGGATTAGGCAAACGCATTAGCTCGCTGCACAAGCCGCATGGAGGGAGGGGACTAGCAACTACTTAGGGATGGACAGACTAGTCTAGGAGGACGTCATCGTCTAATAATCAATATCCAATCTATAGCCCGCACGCGGACGCAGGGTAGTCAAAGCACGTCTACAGAACCAACCAATCAGCCCGCGATATCGAATCGGCCGCGCAGCGAGTGAAACGTACGTGGTATATGCAGCGTGTCGGCGGACACTCAGTCCCACCGGTTCATGGTGAGCATCTTCCGCATTGTCGCTCGGCCCTCCGTCTCCTCCACCTTGACAACCTTGCGTTCTGAGCCGGCGCTGTACGCGCGGAACCATGCCTGCGCGTCCTTCGCAGCGCCAGGCGCACCCGAGATGTCGAGCGCGATGAACTGCAGCGACGGCGCGTGCTCCGCAACCGTGCGCGCAAGGGCGGCCAGGTCCGCGGGCTCCTCGGCCACAGTGGGCGCCGGCGCCGGCTCGTAGCTCGGCTTGAGTGAAGAGAACACAGGCATGGACGGGATCGCAGGCGTCACGGAGAGCGCGACACCTAGGAGGGGGACCTGGAGTGTCGAGAGCGTGTTCGCGACGTGCGTCTGTGCAGAGCAGATACGATCAGCATCGGAGTGCGATAGGGACGGGGAAACACCGGACATACCATCCATTCCGAGCCATCTTTGACGCCGTCGCACCTGTCGCCGACCAGCTCGAGGAACCGTAGGCCGGGCGCAACGACCTCGCCGTCGAGCACCGCACACATCTCCTCCTCCGTGAGGTGTGCGCTCGCTGATGCGCTCAGCACAACCGGACGCGTGCGGCGCAAGAACTCCCGCGCGCAGAAAAGCTCGTAGGTGTCGGACACAAGCGGATTGCGGAGTGCGACCTGGCGCACGGGGCACGCGAGGGGGAGGATGGGGAACCCAGTCTCCACACGGTCCAGCTTTTGGTGCCACGGGCTGACTGCGTGGGCGTCGCCCGCGTCGTTGTCGGTGAAGAGCGCCCAGTCGGGCGCGCACGACCCGCTGCCCGCGATGAACTCGACGGCGCGCACGTGCGGGAAGGCACGGGCAAGGATGGGAAGGCCCGGCACGTCTCCGCCCAGGATGAGGGTGCGGATAGAGCTGCTGCTGTTGATGCAGAAGTCGGGGTATGCTGCGAAGAGCGCGTCGGAGCCCCAAATGGTGAGCCTTTGGAGGTTGCTGGCCCGCGCGATGACGGAGGAGAGGAGGGCTGCGGCGGATGGATCGACGGTCCATACGCCAGCTTTGCGCACACGGACGGCGTCGCGCATCACTGACAAGCCCTGCAGGGCGTCGAGGCGCGCCGAGGGTACTCCGTGCCACGCTGGCGCCGGCGCGAGCAAAAGGTTGCAGAAGTTGGTGAGCTGCGAGAGGGCGCTGCCCCCGGGCTTGTGGTAGAGGCCACCTAGCGTGACATCGGACACGATACGGGGGAAGGCGAGGACATAGGCGGCACGCGACGCGAGGGCGAGCTGGGCGGCGTCGGTGGGAGAAAGAAGTTGGAGGACTTGCGACAAGACGTCGTAGTTCAGCGAAAGCAGCGTGTGCGACATGCTGGCAATGGACCGGTGGGAAGAGGGCCGCTGAAGGGAGTGCGGGCGCGAGGAAGAGACGGAGAAAGGGAGACGATGGCGGCGGGAAGAGAAAGAGATGGCGATGAGCAGAGTCAGGAAAATAGCAGAGGCTGGAGGATAAGCAAGGCCTGCCTGACGCGTTTGGGCGCGCCGCTCCGTTGGTCTCCGTCTGTTCCCCGCAGTGCCGGCCCTCCGAGCGGGGAGCGTTTCCCCCGCGGGGGTGCGGGGGACGCCACGTGGGAGGGCGCTCCGGCATTCCCCTCCACGCCCCATCCTCCTTTCCTCGTCCCTCCACTGACGCGTTCTGCGACGCGGTATTCCCCTCTCCTTCAGGCTAGCTTTGAATGCATGTCTGCTGTCTCTGTCTTGCTGCACAGTCTCTTGGGCAGCCGAGGCACAGACCCCTGAGCGGCACGCCGTATGATGACTGTGATTAGCCATGGCAATGCGACGATGATGTGCTTACACGCACCCGACAACTGCCCATCCTTCCCCCGAAATTGCGCGTAAGCGATCCTATCAGAGGCTCGCCGTGGGCCTCAAGGGGAACGCGGTCGGCCTCGCCCTGCTGATATGCCTGGCGCACGCCCAAGATCAGTCATCTCTGGGGGCCGCACGACGATCCAGGTGAGTCGTCCTGCCGGAGCGAATCGGAAGAAGCACTGGGCGGAAATGGCGGAACTGGTCGGAAGATACGACCGTTTCCGGCCGCCGGTGACTGCTGCACCGCGGGGAACCGTCGTGCGTCGTATTTTCGTCAGGGGCTCGCGAAGGCGGGAGGAAGAGGAGGAGCTTGTGCGCGCCCTGCTGGCTGCGAATATAAGGCCGCGCTCCTGCTGAGTGCATTGAACCGAGCACATCACCTCGCCCACGCCTCCGTGCCAGCTGACGCTCCCGCAGGCCCTTCGTGACCCCCCGGCCTTCACAGAACCAGCCCCTTTTATGGCAGCTGTCGCTCCTTATACGGAAGGCCGATACAATCCGTTGTTGAACTACACCCGCCTCGTTAGCGGTAGTTTCGCCTCCATTTCAATCGTTCGGCCGGATCTTCAATTGCACTATTCTCACCATATGGTCATTTGAAGGTCAGGCCTAGCTATACTATGCATCACCGAGTGCATATGAACGGTAGTATATCGGCCGCGTCCAGTTCTACCGTTCAACGATCATTACTTATACACCCCGGCCTATGTCAGCTCTTCAGTCAGCTCCGGTCTTACTGTGCATCTGACGAGTTGCGAGCTGTGCTTGAGAAAAGTGAGCGCCGAATATACATATCGATATCTGCGTCAGAGAGGATTGCGTAACGCGGACAATAATCAGCGCTGACGGTGTGGGTCAGATCGCATTTGTAGACTTAGCGTCTGGGATTCACTCGACGCGAGTCTAGGAGCGAGACAACGGTGAAACCACATTCACGGTGAATAACGCCAATTTTGCCAAGTCATGTCGCAAGACGCGGTTTTTCATATATAGGTCACTGGCAAGCGCAATACGCACAGAGGCAAATCCAACTAATCGCCCATCATGTACTAACTGTGGTCTGTTCAGGCAACGTACAGCCCACTCGCCGCTCGACACACGCTACTGTGTATCTCGATATCATCATACCCGTGCGCGCTTTCTTGTGTGCATGCCGCAGTGCTAATACACCCTAGTACCGTCTTCATTCCTCCTGCCCCTGAAGCCCCCAAACCCCCTCAACCACCACGACGGCCAAGTCGAGTCATGATCGACCAGCATGCCGACCCTGGCAACATGCACTGGCAGCCAATGTACAGACGGATGGCTTTACCCGCGCATGCGCCGCCGCTGCGGCCTGCGCAGTATGTGCCCACTATCACTATCAGTAGTAGCCATTTGTTAAATCACCGATGTGCTACAGATGAGGCCGCAGTCGTGTTGAACACAATGGACACAGGCACATGGGGCGGACCTCAACCGAAGTGTGCGAGTCCGAGCAATCCGTCCTCATGATCTGCCCCGCGAGGCCCGAGGGAGCCGGATAACCAAGGCGCTCTACCAGGACTGCATAACGGTCGTGCGCGCCATCGCAACCGCTCTCGACCGACCTCGCCTCGCCGGCGTCCCTACAGCGGTGAACGTCGAGACAGAGCTGGTCGGACGGGCGGGCCGTTTCTTCGGGAAAGGCGGCAAGATTGAACGCGCGATGGACTACGTCCTGCATGCCGCGATGGAGCAATCCTCTCGCGGCGACGGTACGTGGGATGACATACAGAGGGAGACGGCGGCGGCGAAGGACCCCGATATCGTTGCGTACGCTGCGATACCGACTCGCGACAACGACCTGGCTTTTGCTGACGTAGCGGAGAGATTGGCCCTCGGCGTCGTCGGCAGGAGTCGAAAATCGGAGGGTTTAGATGGCGAGCTGGACGACGTCCTCGGTGATGATGTGATGGAGCAGCCCGACAACGAAGACAGTGACTATGTGGATATCAAAGCCGGAGGATCGGAGGATTGGTGACTATATTGTACAGAGGTTCCGCCAGGCGAGAGGTGAGCGTCCTTGACACGAATGGCATCCGGAAGGTTGACTCGGGTTAACATCTCTAAATCGGAAGTACGAATCATTATTCTTGGTAACATGGTTGCTCGCACCTAGACCCTTTGGATCCATACCAGTAGGACTAAGCGTTATGGCTGGTAGAAGCATGGTCCTGCCGGGTGTAGGTGCCCGTTACTGTTCAAAGGCGTAAAGCTTGGTCTGCCTCAAATCAATGCGCCCTGCGGCGGGCTATGCTCCCGCGATACACAGTATATAAGCAAGTGGGCACTACTGCAATTCACGACACCCCACCGATATCCCTAAGCTCCCCCCCTCATCCTCAGCTATGACGACGCTCTTAAACGCACCACTCGAGTCTGTCGGAGAGGCCCTGGTCCCCACCGTGAAGACTTACTGCATGCCCCACTCAGTATATCCTCGAGACGCTCCCCTTCAGTATGTGCACGTCAGTATCAGCCATGACAAGGCAGGCGAAATTGGACATGCCTGTGCACTTCAAATTCGCCGACACATGTACCCCAACACCGATCAATTCATCGAGTCCTTGGACAGTGACTCCCTGGATATGTACGAGTTTGTCACGACGGTGTTTGACAAATCCGGCAACCTTAGGAACGATCTCATGAAGGACGATTACCTCAAGGGCACAGGCGTATGGGGCCGCGAGCTGGACAACGGTGGCACTCTCCTATACGTCAAAAGTGTTAGAGTAAAGGAAGAGGTAATAGTTCCAGGGACCATAGAGTGTATCCCGAAGCTGATCATTTACTCACCAGTTCAGGAGGCAGGGAATAGCATCGTTGCTCCTGCGGACGTTGGCGCAGTCCGAGTACACCACGCCTCAGACGTTCATCTTCGTTTGTCCCACGCCGGAGTTCAACGAAAGCACGCTGAATGCTTGGAAGAAGCAGACGCCCACCGACGCTGCCTTGTACCGAAAGGTACGTGCTGTGTTTTGCCGTTTGTGAGTGCATGTCAGCTAATTGACAACGGACCACAGAACCACTACCGCCGTGTAGGACGAACCAGGTTCTTGGCCTACGCGTGCGACCCTACCCATCCTTCTCGGTCGCTTACCCTCGAGGACGACGTCGAGTGTATCAACAAGGGTTTCCAATGCTGGAAGTCTCACACAAGCAGCGTAAGCATCTTCTCAATTGAGATATTGGCTTCACTGGGGCTCACTGGTCGTGTTTAGGTAGAACCCTATATGCCCGATACTTCGAACGACTGGTTGCATCGCATGATCGAAAGCACCGCACAGTCACCTGACCTCCCAACGGGCGACATTGCAGACGTTATCCACGACGCGTATCGTCGGGACCCGGATCTCGTCCACCAGGTGGACGACCGCGGCTTTACACCCATCCACACAGCCGCCAATGCCGCCAATTTGCGCGCCGTACGGGCCCTTCTTTCCCTCCCTGAGGAAAGCAAGATTTGGTATGATTTGCGTGAGCATAGCCTGGCAGTGCGCACTCCGCTTGAGCATTGTCAACATCATATGCTGAACCTGAAGCACTTCGCGGAGACGCAGCCAGGCCAACAATGGAACGGCTATAGCCCGGACGTATTGCGGGTCGAGCTGCTCCTGACGAACGCAACGCGGGAAGGGCTGCTCCTGACGGACGAGGAAACGTTGCCACTGATCACTCTGTCGGAAGAAGCGTACATTGCCAGTCGCAGATGGGGGTGCACGTGCGGGAAGTGCACGGACGGCTGGCTTTCCGAACGGATGCGCTACAGGATGTTGAGTGAGTTCCCTCGCGTCGCCATGTTCCTAGATGCTCTTCAACTCACCTTCCATGCTAGCCAACGCCCAAGTGGACGCGGGCAACATGGACACCATCGCCGACACCGCTCCCGAGGATGCCCGCTTCGACGACGAGTATGCGTCGCAGCACCTCCCGCCAGCAGTTCGTACCGGTGGCATCTCCAAGCTCGTGTTCCAGGACTACGCAGATGTCGTCCGCGCAATCGGCGCCGTCCTCCGCGAGCCGGGGACCGCAGGCATCCCCACCGTCGAGAACGTCTATCGTGCGCTCGGAGGGATGGGCGAACGCTTCTTCGCCAATGGCGGTCGCATCGAACACGCCCTGAGCTACGTCCTCCATGGGGCCAAGGCGCAGTCACCGTGGGGGGACAACAAGTGGGACGACGTTATAGACGACCTGGCCTGGGAGGGCAACGCGGAGGCGATTGCTTACGAGGCGATGGCGTGCTGTGACAACGATCTGGAGTTCACCCTGGTGGGGCTGAGGCTAGGGCTCCCGCAACCCGGCCACTTCACGAGTAAGTACGTGAGCCGCGGGTATACGGATGGAGGGGAAGAGGACGACGAAGGTATGGCGGAAGACGAATAGGACACCGAGGATGAGGACCCGGCAATGCTGGACGAGGATCAGGAGCGTATGGTGAGGATGATGCGGATTCTGAAGTAGCAGAGGTATGAGTGCACCTGAAGGAACGGGACCACTGTCGAAGCCTTCGAACGGTTGACCCAAGTAGTTAGAAGCCCACAAGAATTATGGATTGTTTGTTATACTCATTCATGGGGTTGAAGTTAAAACCAAAGGAACGTTGCTGTAAGTCATAGTAGAATTCCCGCCAGTGCCTCACTGCGATCTTGCACGGCTAACAGCAGAAGCATTTGCACATATCGTCCGTCCCGAATAGACGTTATTTGCAGCGGGGGTGCGCCCGTTGGAGTAGTTCAATATTGTGAGTGGAGCAATACCAGATCCTGTAGATTTCAGCCTGTTCACAGTGCGAGAGGCCCACGCGATGGCTCCATGTAATACGAGCGCCGGCCCCACCTGAGCTGGTACAAACCCGCTGCAAATAACCTCTAATGAGTCGCGACACCCGTATGACGTAGTCACATGGCCGACCATCCGGACCGCGACCAGTCAGCTGTAGATTGACGATCAGCCCTCCTCGTCGTTTGACCGGGAAGAACCAACGATGTGTTGACGGCATGCAGGACCTTCCGCCCCGCGCATAGGGTGCAAAAGGTCGCGCATGGCCCCCCGCTTGCCCTCTCAGGCTTGCACCACTTCGCCCACACGCTCTGTGATGACATTGACGTACCTCTCACTGTGTACCACCCTAGCACTGTGCAGCCTCGCCCATGCCCGGATAGACCGCCACGGCCTCGTTTCGCGGTTCAACCCCGTCCGGACGGCGTCCAGCGCGAGCACCCCTATGCAGGTCGGGAATGGCTACTTCGCATTCGGGGCCGACGTCACCGGCCTCCAGACCTTCCTCCCCTGGGCGACGATGTCCGACTGGGGATGGAAGAACGACTCGCTTCCCGCAGGTACGACCGATGCAGACATTGCGGCCTACCGTGGCGTCGTCTGGGATGGAGTTGAGTACGAGTTTGGGGGTCCCGAGCCGGAGCAGCAGTGGCTCATCTCCAACCCGAATCGCGTTAACCTGGGCCGTATCGGACTGTTATTCTTGGACGAAAGCGGCCAGACAGAGAACGTGACAGAGGAGGCGCTGGAAGGAAAAAGACAGGTGCTGAATTTGTGGACGGGTACGGTGACAAGCACGTTCCAATGGGAGGGGGCGGACGTGCGTGTACAGACCGTCGCGGCGCAGGAGAGCAACACAGTCGGCGTCACAATCACGTCCCCGCTCCTGCAACGCGGCCGCCTCGGAGTGTTCCTCGACTTCCCGTGGAACGATGGCGTCCAGAAATTCGAGGCGCCCTTCGTCGGCGTGTGGAACGCGACGAGCAACCATACCACGGCGTTGCGCACGGGCGGTGGGCTAGGTCGTAATATCCAGGCGCAGATCGCGCACACGATGGACGCCACGACGTTCTTCGCGTCCGTCGGAGGAGACGCCTTCTCTGCCAAGCGAGTCTCGCCGGATGCGCACCGCTACGAGATCGTCCCGCGCCGCGGCCAGAAGGAGTTCTCCGTCGCAGTCGCGTATTCGCCGGGGGCAGTCCAGGCAGTATCGGGCGTGAAGGAGATCCAGCGCGAGTCCCAGCAGGCTTGGGAGGACTTCTGGTCCAATCACGGTTTCGTGGACGTTTTGACGGGATCCACTGATGCCCGCGCGGAGGAGCTGCAACGGCGCATCATCCTGTCGCAGTATCTGTTGCGAGTGAACGAGGCGGGTGATTATCCTCCGCAAGAGGTAAGCCACGTCGCCGCATGCCATCGCCGCTGTTGACTGACAGTTCGTAGTCCGGCCTAGTCAACAA